GTCACGAGATAAGAGGTGAGGAGGAAGTTGATGAGGTGGAAAAGAGGGAGGAGAGATGATGAAAATATAAATATTCAAATGTCATATATAGTTTTAAAAAGCTATTTCTGATCTTTAGATTGAAGGCAACTTATCATGTGTGCTCTGTATATTGCTGGTCTCCAGCCACATACATAAAAGGCAGAATGGGAAGGTCAATTTCGGTCCTTGTATTCAAGATGGGTGAGCAACATGGCGGTATCCACAAACTGGCACCTGCTTTAATGAGAATGCATTAATTTCAAGGAAAGCATAATTACACACTAATTGATGTACATGAATTAGTTCAATGTTCTTTTTTTCTATTAGATAAACTTAAAAAATGACTGACTGACTGTCATGTCAGTGCATTTTGGAGCCTTTTGGACCTGAAGAGTTTGCTATTTGAGAAAGAAACGCCATAGATGTATTAAGCATGTAATTATGATATTTATAAACTTAACTAAACACTGAACTAAATGAAGAAATGTTTAAAATGGTTAAAAGGGAACATGGCTGAACACAGTCAGCTAGGCTATGTCAATATGTGCTGAGACTTGTAGCTAGCTACCAACCCCCACCCCTGCCCTACTGTTTAGGTTTTTTTTGTTTTTTTTTTCCCCCCATATAGTATAAAAGAGGCTTTTACAAAAAATTTCAAACCAAAACAATATGTGGTCTTATTATAAGAACACAACATGCAGCCACATTCATTCTGCATTAACCAGACGGCTGCTCCTCTGTTATGAACGGCTTCATTACATTAAATAAAAGGAAACACTGTTTAGTCGCGCACCTTTTTTATATCCAGCTTTTATTATTTAATGATGAAAATAATGAAAAATATGGGTCTACACAGGATACACAGTAGTCATAGTCAGTTCTCCAGGGAATGGTGCACCCTCCATCATCAGGAAGGGAAGCTATTATTTATCCATGAAGCAAGCAAGGTGGAAATTACTTTGTCAGCCACAGTGTATGTGTTCATTTTTCAAAAAAAATACACATCCACTTTGTCATGTACACCAAAACAAATCATTATTCCTGCTCTCTTTCTAAAAATTTTAAACAGATGATTTGTGGTACTTTACACAGCTGTTGGAGGGAAACATTGATGTTTATATTTAAACATCAGTACAGATACTGAAAAGGTAGCATAAAAGCAACTCTGAATAATATCTGTCATGTGAGGAGAATACAACGCCAAAGAATGTGTGTAAAAATCGCAGACACCCGGCAGTCTTTGATGAATCTCGAAACTTGTCATTAACAGATAAAAGGATTGCCATACCAACAAAAGGTCCTGAATAGCAGCGTAGCGCTCTCTCTCTCTCTCTCTCTCTCTCTCACACACACACACACACACACACACACGGTAGATTGATTCCCTTTGAGAAAAAATATTTGTGAAGCAGTGAATCTGGAAGAATGAAGCACAAAGACCTAATTACGCTGATAACATGGTGAACATCACCATCTAGAGGCCATTTATGTTACTACAGGTTATTTTCATTTGCATAGAAACATGTTTTCCCCACCTTCATCTCACATCTCTGATATCTACTCGTGTTATTAAGTAAATGCAATCACCTTGTATATAATTATAAGTCAAGCAGCCCTAAGAAATCGTGACTGTAACATAAAGACGTAACTCAGACCTTAGCGGATGCTGAACGCTCAGGCTGACAAATTAATGACCCACTAACACAGGCCAAAGCGGTTTCATCGCGGAATGGAGGAAAGATTTATTGGTTCAAATCCAGCTTGTTTTGTCCAATATTTTACCGTCAAGACTTTCAGAACTCTCCATATTTCACCGCAACCATAAACACGCTCCTCTGAAGTTTGTAAAGCGTATTTTCGATGGAGAATTAATCACATCGGTCACATCGTTTCACAAAACTCTGTGAGGCCTCCGGGTAATAAATGTGTTTCAGAGCTGAAGAATAATCAATAACCAACAGTTGTAGATCCAACCAGGAGCGGTCTTCATTTCAGAGCCAAAACAGGAAAAAAAAAAAAAAAAAAAAAGGAAAAATCATCACTCAACAAGATATTAGGCATTAATCTAAGTCCAAGTATGGTATTCAAGAAAATCCTGCGGTGATAAGGTACAGGGCTTCTACATAGCAACGAACAAATCATTGACAAAATGATCAATGAAACTTTATCATTCTTATTTGTTGACTGGTTGTCAGCAGTAGTTTTATACCTACTTTTGCAAAAAAAAAAAAAATTTGTGATATTTAACTGAGCGTAGCGGCAGTCCAGAAAATCAGACTCCTCCATTACTGGCAGATTATCTGATATTCCCAGTAAAAGTGTGAAAAGACAACCATTAAGGGACTTGAAACCTCAACCTTCTGACCGACAGTCAGGCCTCACAGTCAGACTGAATTGCTTTAATGGTAAATACACCAATGGATGAACTGGAGAACAACTAAGGGTTATTATCTTGCCCAATGACACCTGGAGATGGCACAGCTAGGGATCAAACCACCAACCTTCTGATCTGTAGATGCCCTGCTCCGCCGCTTTGCTATGGCTACCCTGTTTAAGCCACTTTAACCTGCCCACATTTTCTGCAAGCTACTTTGCAAACCACTTCTAACTTTTTTCAACAATATCGTCTGACTTAATGTCATGTCTGTCATTTATTTTTGTTTTATTGTTGTTTATTTCTGGTTTTAGGCCATAAAATGACTTAATTTTAGCACAAACATCCTTGTAAATCAGAATCAGAATCAGAATACTTTATTAATCCCTGGGGGAAATTATTTTTTGTTACAGTGCTCCATTTTAAACCAACATTAAGACAAGACAGACAATACACTAACTAAGAATAGTACAATATATACATATATACACATACATACTTCACTCATAAATAAATAGTTGGAAAAGAAACATGTGTAGTTGTAGCAGCAAACAGTGTGTTAAGTGGATGCGTTGTACAGGGAGATGGCCACAGGCAGGAAAGATTTCCTGTGTCGTTCAGTGGTGCTTTTGGTAATCTCAGTCTCTCACTGAACGTGCTCCTGTGACTGACCAGCATGTCATGGAGTGGGTGGGAGGTGTTATCCAACATAGTCTTTATCTTGGACAGCATCCGCCTCTCCGACACCACCTTGAGGGTGTCCAAGCTCCATCCCCACAACATTACTGGCCTTACGGATTAGTTTATTAAGTCTGTTGGCATCTGCGACCCTCAGCCTGCTCCCCCAGCATGCAACAGCATAGAGGATCGCACTGGCCACAACAGACTCATAGAAAATCCTCAGCATTTTCTGGCAGATGTTGAAGGACCTCAGTCGCCTCAAAAAATAGAGACGACTCTGGCCCTTCCTGTAAAGTGCTGTGGTGTTTTTAGCCCAGTCCAGTTTATTGTCAATGTGTACTCCAAGGTATTTATAGTCCTCCACAATGTCAACACTGACCCCCTGGATTGAAACAGGGGTCAAGTGTTTCCTGGTCTTCCTGAAGTCCACGATCAGTTCCTTGGTCTTTGCCACGTTGAGCTGCAGATGATTCTGCTCACACCACGTGACAAAGGAGTCGACCACAGCCCGGTACTCTGTCTCATCATCCCTGCTGATGCATCCAACCACCGCAGAGTCATCAGAAAACTTCTGAAGATGGCAGGTCTCTGTGCAGTGGCTGAAGTCTGTGGTGTAGAGGGTGAAGAGGAAGGGGGAGAGGACAGTCCCCTGTGGTGCCCCTGTGTTGCTGATCACCTTGTCAGACACACACTGTGGGAGACGTACATATTGTGGTCTTCCTGTCAGGTAATCAACAATCCAGGACACCAGAGAAGCATCCACCTGCATCGCTGCTAACTTATCACCCAGGAGGGTCGGCCTGATGGTGTTGAAAGCACTGGAAAAGTCAAAAAACATGACCCTCACAGTGCTCGCCGGCTGGTCCAGATGGGTGTAGACACGATTGAGCAGGTAGATGATGGCGTCCTCAGTTCCGAGACGAGGCTGATAAGCGAACTGAAGGGGATCCAGATGTGGTCTTACAATGGGTCGCAGCTGGTCCAGGATGAGCCTTTCCAGGGTCTTCATGATGTGGGAGGTCAGTGCCACGGGCCTGTAATCCTGGGGGCCACGGGACGTGGCGTCTTTGGTACAGGGACGAGGCATGATGTCTTCCACATCACTGGGACCCTCTGCAGACTCAGACTCAGCATAAACAGTTTATGAAAGACTCCACTCAGCTGGGGGGCACAGGTCTTGAGGACGCGGGGACTCACTCCGTCTGGTCCAGCAGACTTGCCTGAGTGAAGTCTCCTCATTTGCATCTCAACCTGGTATTGAGTGAAGGTGATGGGTGGGGGAGGGGTGTCAGGAACTCTCACAGGAGGCAACATGTGAAGAGAGAGGCTGGCACAGTGGTGTGGCTCTGGATTCCAGGCTGACTACAGGTGAGGTTGTGGGGGTGGGAGCAGACACTGTGGTGTCGAATCTATTGAAAAACAGATTCAACTCATTGGCTCTATTCTCACCTCCCTCAGCTCCCCTGCTGTTGGTTGGCCTGAATCCAGTGATTGTCTTCATGCCCCTCCACCCTCCACACCTAAATACAAGTTTAGTGACACAATAATTCATTAGGTAATGCCATAGATCTGTGCATCAACTTTACTGCCAAAGGACACTTGCGTGTAAAAGTTACTGGTAGCTTTTACATCACAGAATGAAATGACACGGCTGATTTCTTGGATGAGCACACAAGCTGTTTTACACCTGCCCAAGTTCAGTTTTAGCTGACACTGTTTTAACTGTAGACAAGCTACTAAAAGCAGACTCACATGATCTGGTGAACTGTACCCAGTGGAAGTATTCTAGCTTATTTCATAGTAACTGCTGTGTACAGATCAGCTGGATCGAGCAATATAAGCAAGTAGTGTGATCGCTAACTGTGAAAGTGATGCTTACTTGCTCCTGGACCCTTCAGCACAGTTTGAATACACAGTGGAGGGGTTGCAGTCATGGTTGGTACAACGCAACCATCAAATCAATTTATTTATATAGCACTTTTAAAAACAACAACTGTTGACCTGTACAATAAAATAATCAGATCAAATTAAAAAGGAAAGTAAAATAAAAGATAAGAAAATAATAAGAATAAAATAATGACAGACTCGTACAGAATTAAAAGCCAAAGAGTAAAAATGGGTCTTTAACCTCCTGAGACCCGAACTCTTTCATGGCATGCATTTTAAATTTCTCTTTGATATTTGAGCTGATTGGGACCTGATGAATTTAAAAATAAAGAATTACCAGATTTTTTTAAATTTATTTTTTTTACCCGATTTTTGTTTCTGAGAAAAATTAGATCCACACATGACGACATTTCGCTTTAAATTTCAATAGAACAGTTGCAGTATAATGTCCTCGTAAGTGGATATCAGGCCCTTGTAGAGAAAAACTTTGTATGTGATGTGGACGCCAGGTCCTAGGAGGTTAAACGAGTTTTAAAAGTATCCAGTGTTGCAGGTCCTGATATGTAAAGGCAGTTTATTCCACAGTTTCGCAGCAGTCACAGCAAAATACCCAATCTCCTGTTTTAATCCAGACCTGGGACAACCAGAAGCATTTGGGCCACAGACCTCAAAGATCTTGCCGGAGTATACCAATTTAAAAGATCAGAAAGATATATAGGAGCTAGTCCATGCAATGTTTTAAAAACAAGTGTCAAGATCTTAAAATCAATTCGAAACCTTACTGGCAGCCAGTGCAGCGAGACGAGTGTAGGGGATATGTGCTCTCTCTTCCACTTGCCAGTCAAAAGCCTTGCCGCAGCATTTCGAACCAGCTTTAGCCGGCCAATAGATGACGAAGTAACACCAGAGTAAAGGCTGTTGCAGAAGTCGAGGCGAGATGAAATAAAGGCATGGATTGCTTTCACAAAGTCTCTGAAGCAGAGAAATGGCTTTGCCTTTGCAAGTAAGCGGAGGTGAAAGAAGCTGGTCTTGATCACATTATTTATCTGTTTATTGAATGTTTAATTACTATCAAAAATCACACCTAAATTCCTCGCAAACGGTTTTTTATAATTTTCTAAGGGGCCGAGGTCGTAATGGTCACTAGGGCCGAAGACAATGATCTCAGGTTTCTGTTCATTTAGATTGAGAAGATTTAGAGTCATCCATATCTTAACATCTTCCAGACAATCGAACAATCTCTTCAGAGGGTTCACAGATTTGCGTTTCAGTGGGAGGTAGATCTGTGAATCATCTGCATAACAGTGAAAGGAGATACCATGTCTTATATGAGTACGTCTTTAGTGACACAAATGACCAAACTATCTAAAAGACTGTCGGAACAGACACAAATATGGTGGGACATCTCTCTGCATGAACCAAACACACAAGAAAAAGCAGGAAAGCTGATCATTACATATGTGTAGATCCCTTTTAATATAGAAACTGCACTCATTCAGATATACAAAGGCGAGCAACTTCCCACCTTTAATTGAAAGCTTTACAAAAACCCTCACATCATGTGGGAATAAATGTGTGGATGCTCGATATCAATGAAAAAGTTCTTCATGAAATCGAATCCCACCCTTCTTCACAGTGAGTTTCAGAGCTCACGGCTTTACTTTCTGTTCTGCTGTAAATGCGGGTGGGGCCAGTTCCTGGATTGGAAGTAGCCCCTGAGTCCTTCCAGGTTCACAGGAGGGAAGTAAGCTCCGATGCGTTTCCTCAGCCACCACTTGCCCTGTGCTGCGCTGGCACTGCCTGGCTGGCTGAACTTGTACCTGAAATGTTCTCCCCGAACCCACCTGCAAGGAAGAAGAGCCCAAAACTGCGTTCACATGAAGTAATGATTTTTATCGTCAGCATACATTCTTCAGGGCTTATAATACTGTGTCTACCAACAACAGTGAGTTTGTTAGGTTTGTTTTGCTCAGAGCAAAAGGTAAGGAATCTTAGAAAACAATACTGAAATATTGATTTTTTCATCGCTTTTTTTTTAAGATAAACTCATGTTTTGCAAAATAAAATAAAATAAAATGTATGTGATGGAGGGAAATTGAGATCATTTTTGGATTCAGCACCCTAAAAAAGATAAAATTTACCAAAAATATTCCATGCAGCTGAAAAAGCTTTTTTTGCAGACCTGTGTTATCAATCACAAGTCAATGAGCAGTCCTCCTGTCAATCCTCACATCTGCTTTTAAAACACTGAGATGGTGACATTGAAAATAGTCCAGTTTATTTATATAGCACATTTAAAAACAACAGACACTGACCAAAGAACTTGTTGTACAACACACAACACAAATCACCAAAAAACATTACAAATGATTTAAGAATGACAGAAAAAAGTTTCAGCTGCAACAACAGAACTTAACTAATCACTGTGTAACGACAAAGTGCGTGTTGTCCATCTTTTATATACAGTATGGGTAGGACCATGATGGTCATACCAGCATGTTGTGCCGCTGGTGTTCATGCACGTTAAAACACTGAGGAACAATGTAGTGTTTGTTATTAGACGATTCCACTGCCTGAAAAAGATCTGCCCGGTTAGCTAGTTACTTAGCATGCCTCAACTAGCTAGTTATGTGATGGCCTATCCTTCCACTGCTGGCTAAAAATGGTTTGGTGATGATAGAGACCAGTGCAGGTGAACATTGTAAACATAATACACACTTTTCCTTGATGGTTGTGTTACAACTCTAAAGGTTGTGTGCGTGTGAGTTGCTCTCTTCTTCCTGTGAAGCGCTACTGAAGCAACTCCACTCAGCAATCAGCAGTGGAAGTACTTAAGCTGAGGAGCAGGAGTCAGCTCCACAGAGCCATTGTGGTGGCTCACAGCTGTGTGAATGAGTGTGGTTTTGGACTTATCCCTTTTCTTTTACCAGCGTCTAAGTTTAGCTGTAGCTTTCTGAGGACTTTCCCAAACTTAACGGGAATGTTTTGGTGAGGCTGGTGTAGACTGTGTGCGTTTACCTGGGTGAGTCTCTGCCTTGGAACGGGTTGTGGTCGAGAAGTGAGAGGACTGTGCTGTCGTTGGACAGCAGGCGTCCTGCTATGTGGATCACCCACTCACTCTGCTCGTAGGTCTGATCGAACAGATGGAGACAATGTGTTAGAAACTGAAATAAACACAGGAGAAGGAGACGGAAAGAAGAGAGGACGAGGAAGAGACAGAAATCAGGAGAGAGGAGAATTTTAACGAGTCACACTGGGAATCAAATAAGTGAGAAAGAGGAGGCAAGGGAATTTAATGTGTGTTTGTGAGAGAGAAAAAAGGGAAATAATGAGCAGATACAGGGAGACAGAAACACACAAATGAAGCCTGAAGGGCAAACACGACAGTTCTGGCTTGATTTAAAACAAGCGTGCAGCAATATCGTGGAAACACTGCCCCCCGGTGTTGGAAATGGGGTACTAAAGCTTTTTCACATTGATTACATTTAGATATAGACAGCCATAATAGCAACAATAATATTAATACATTCAGACTCTTTATCAACATTAGGATGATAAATAAAAAAAATGCTGTAGTGAGGTTTCACCTGGAAGGCAGCGAACCACATGAGCCAGTCCAGTCGATAGTGGTACGGCGAGAGGAGGCACGGCCGCCGGTACACGTCCCCCGGCTTGCACATGAACTGGTACTCCTCCCACAATGCTTCAGGGTCCTTGGGATCTGGGCTCAGAGTGCCCTGGAAAATCACCTCAGTACGTTCCTTAGTGATGCTGAACAGAAGGAGAGGAAACATTAAATAAAACGAATAAAAGGATCACATTTTTAAAATTTCACTAATTTCTTTAGTATGCAAAAATCTTAATTTGCAATATGTCTGCTAATATATGCGTTTCCTCTCGGATCCTCTGGCTGTACCTGCCAAACGCTCCGTACGTGTTGACAATGCGCAGCGGGTCAAAGGATGTGTTCATCACCTGCCTGGAACTCAGCAGGTTCATCACCACAGGGATGCTCAGGCAGCCAATCAGAATGCCCAAAGATATGTTAACCACCCGACGAATCAACATACCTGACACAGACAGACACACAAACAAACAAACAACTTCTAAATGCATCTTAATGTTCTGTCACTGGATAGAGCCCACTGCTTTCTCCGTCATCTGCTCCATTTCAGCTAAATATGAAACTGCACATGCATGTTGTCGCTCCTGTTTAGCCAAAAAAAACGTGTATTCACCCCAAACCTGTACCTGAAGCCGAGGAAAACTGCACCTTAAATCAAGGTGACACATTTATTAGTGTCTGGCCTGGAGCAGTGGAGGTTGGCATTAACGAGTGAGCCGGCGTGTTTGCATGTGTTTGTGATCAGTGAAACAATTTCTTAGTAAAAAAGGTGTGGACGATGTGTGCCGGGGTAGCTGGTCCTGGCAAACATTTGCTAAGTCTGCATCAGTTCCTTCCTACCTTTCTGCCTGGCCCAACACATGTTAAACACATCAGGCTACCCACAATCATTTCTCACCAGGACCAACTTTCTGGCTCTGCTCAAATGATTCAAATAGGCCCACACTCCAGGTACCAGGTTATTTCATATTTGCTATGCTACAGTGAAGCAAAGACACTAATAGGTCCAGTGGGACCAATTAGAGTGGGGCCACTCTCACACTTTTACCACAGTTTCAGCAGTCTGTATTGTAAAAATGTAAGTGGCGTTACTTTAAATTCCAACAAACTTGATGTCATTCTTTTCCCAGCTACTCAGCTCTCCAAGTGCTAATCCTTTTTATTCCCATAATTCCTTCTCTAGCACAACCAGATGCTATGCAGCCTTGTCAGTCTGTACTGCTGAATACCAACATTTCAAATTCATAAGTAGACAACAATATCCTGCGTTTGCACAGTTTGGGATGTGCATACCTTTGGTAGGTGCTGGGGTGCGTCCAGCTACATCCTCACTCTGTATCTCCAGCACTGCTTCCTTGGCTCCAGCCCCAGAGCGAAACAAGAAGCCCAGCGATGCATCGTCAAAGCAGGCCAAACTGGGAACGATGGTGAGCCAGTTCAGAAAGCTAAGGTTCCCGCTCACTATCAAAACCACCTGCAGCCCAAAATAATGGGACAGAGAGAAGGCACAGTGAGGAGAGATGATGCAGCAGTGTTTCAGCACCAATTAAAAAGCTGGAAAACATGTTTTTATTAAAGAAATGAACGACCCAATGAGCTCTAACAAAATGAAGGGCAGCACCAATACCTCAAAATCCTGTTTGTTTTTCGTGTTCACTTCGTGTAGGCTACCAGGGAGCCTACCACAGGCTATACATGAGGCACAGATTCAGTTTAAGTGTACAGTAATGGATAACATAGCTAAATGCAATTAAACATCCCAACATTAAAGCCATTAACTTTCAGAGTTCAAAGAGTAAGGGGACTTTCAAGGAATGAAAAATAAAATGACATAAAATCTATCTGAGCAGCCCGCCTTGGTTAAACCTGTGTGTGTGCAAACACTGAACAGGAACAGTGTTTCCAAAACAGAGCCAACAACATCACATCAGTAGGTGCATTTATATTTCATTATTGTTTGACTTTTCCCCTCTTAATCATTACTAACTTGGCACCACCGTTAAGATCGTTATCTCAGTTGCCATAAACATCAATCATCATTCAGCCTTTGCTCTCATTGCTCTCTGTGGCTTGTGAACAGTGTAAATTACCTGGAAAAGGATCTGGATTGCTCCATTAACCATACACATCCGCCTGCCCAGGAAAGTGAAGAACGGGACGATGAGTTCGACAAAGTGGTTCGACAAGGTCTCAAAGCGATGGAACCACCACGGAGAGCGGTGAATGTAGTATGACATGGGATTGGGAACTGGTTGGGTCTGCACAGAGAAAAAACTCAAGGTCAAAGTGATAAGTGCCACGGTAACATCTCATCTTTAATGAATGGATTCCTCCCTGAAGTTCTGCAAAGTTTTTCTGATCTGCAAACATTTTCCAAACACTGTCTGCTCACAGCTTAAGATGGAAGTTTTTCAGATTTACTTTGGCAATAACTGTCTGAGATGGGATGAAAATTAATTTATAGTGTCACACCTTGAGGGAAACATTTCCATGTCTAAATAAAGATGGAAACCTATTTAAATAGCAGCAACCACACCTATGCACCCCCCCAAAAAAAAAAAAAAAAAACCCCAGAGGATTCATACAGACTGGTAAATTATGCGTGCATGAGCTGGTTGCTATGTAAAAGCTGAATATGCAAACTGCTACAGGGAGTGAAAAATAAATATAGCACAGGAATAGGCGTAGGAAAAATGAAAACAAGACAGTTGGCATCCTAACCCAAACCTTTATTGTTTTTATGTTGCAGAAAATTGGGGTTATTAAACTTGCAGCTTACTGAAACACCCCTGGAAGACCAAGGGCAAGGGGCCTGCGACCTCAGACAGCCAAACAACCCCACAGGACTTGGAAACCAGCATTATTACAACAAACATACAGAGGCAAACAAAACAGCAACTATGCTGAAACACAGCTACACAGCCCCCCGAGAGTCAGGACAGGAGGAGATCTGCAGCTCCTCTGCTCATCTGAAAGGGAGCACTGTGTCCGAGGGGTTAATAAGGTTCACCTGGCACCACTGGCTTCCGGTCCTATGTGTGTGCGTGTGTGTCTACATTACGGCATAGGCTGCTAACTGTTGAAATTGGACCAGGAAAGGGAAAGTGACCCAGCGTGGAATAAGCTCCACATTATACCTGACAAATCATCCTACAAACTCATTTTCTGGTACACTAACCTTAAATAACTGTCATGTAGCTAAAGAATTGCCTCCGCAGGCATCTATAGTTTTTTTTAATAATTCAAGCAAGATACAGTGACCACAGTAGCTGAGGCTACAAACAAAGCTACATACAGCTACACAACAGTCACAAGCTCTGAGAACTGAACCAGCGCTGTCATGCATCATTACAGTTAAAATAAGACGGCCATTTCCACTTGTGGTCATTTCTAATTGGTATAGTTTATATAGATATGTTTCAAAACCTGATGAGAGAGCAGCAGCACAACCGCCATCGCAGAAGAGACCAGACTTCAATGACAGCAAGTCATGTCAAGTGGGCTGCAAAGGAGCTTCCAGCTGAAATGAAAGTGTGAGCAGGCTGAAGCAGTTTCAGCAGTGTGCTGCATACGAGACACGCCAATTGGATGTGAGATGTTTGACTTCATCACTTACCTGAACTAACAAATCAGCAAGTGCCAGTACCAGTCTCAGGAGAGACTGGTACTGGCACCCACTCGCCAGTACCAGTCTCTCCTGAGCGTTACTAGAGGCAGATTGACCCCTATACACTCACAGTCATTATAAAAGTTGTTTTCACCCTTCAAAACAATTAAAAAAAAAAAAAAAAGCTTTTTATAATCCATGCAGCTGGAGTTAGGGGGACCCTTTCAGCCAGATATTGGCGACAACCAAAGCAGTCAGACTGAAGCATCAGAACTGTCAGTGGAGCTAATGCTAGCCTCAGTTTAAAATAAGCTACCACACCAGACTAATTAAACCTGGAGCTGTTTAAAGCTTGTGTTTATTGTTTGTGTGTACTGAACTTAGCAAAGCAGAATTTCACTTTGAATTTAACAGTTCAGAGATTTTAAACATCATCTACCTTCGATTGCTCAAATTGGTCAACATCTGGCTCACATTGTTCTAGCTGTAACAGCTGTGTGCCCCTAATACTACTGAGCACACTGAAAAGCAACACTTTAACCAACAGATCAGTTCAACTTTAACTATTTTTACATTTTACAAGTTTAAATGAAGGTATCAAAAGGAAGAGGGAAAAAAAAACAACCCATCTTTCTGGTAACAACAAGGTCATTTAGGGGAGTTTTCTTTATGATGTAATGGTAATCACATGACATGAACAGAGAGTATAATTATTTCATACACTGAACATGGGGAGAATTAACTGATGTTATTTTTTTCAATGTACAGGACATTTGATCAATTTAGTTGAGGTTAAGACAGTTCAACATTTTCGATACACATGAAATTGTGAAATTTGTACAGTGGACAATATTTGGCCTCACAAACTCTGCTGCCCTGTATGGCAATGAATGCTAAAACTGTGGGAAAATCTAGGAAAATTTTATAAGGAAGAGTCAAAGAAAGAAAGAAGGAAAAGCCATAATTAGAAAGGATAAAAATGTAAGCGCTTTATACTTCCACATTATAATCCTACACATCACTAGCTATCAACTCCATGGAAGCCTGTGTGTTACAACCTAACCTCCCTTCCTATTGTATTTTCGGCTGGGTGAATATCTATGAAGTATTCTTGATGTATCCCGTCTCATAGGAGCCAGAATATTCCTGTCTATGTTAATTACAGAAGACAGAAGAAGGTCCTCCTCCCTCTGTGGCCCGCTAACATCGAGCAGTGCTGGTTAGAGCGGTCGAGTGTCCCACCGAGGGAAAAACAAACACTGGATTTGCACAACCTCACACTCAGTGTAAGAGTTTGATTTATTGAATCCCACAACAGCGGTTTCTGTAATGTGCTGCCCTGCTGTGGTTAGCCTGATGTGAGTTTGTTGCAGCTTTGTCATCATCCAGGAGACGAAGCCAAGGTTCACTGTTTTTATATATCAATCAGACTGAGACGTTCAGACTGCTGAAGAAAACGGGCTTTTGGGAAATTTAAAAGCGACTCTGGTTTTGCTGGACACTTGTAATATGATAGCTTAGGTGAAATCTTTGGTTGTAGGAGGTCGTTACTGCAGTGGCTCCTGCACTGTACTCAGAACGCAAGCAAACGTGGGATTTTAATCTGTGTTCTGCACAGAACATGTTTAACAAACTTCCTAGAACCACCAAGGGGTTCTAGTGTGAAGGAAACAAGTGTGAACAGCTCCCGGCCCAACCTGTGAGGATTGAAGGCCCTTTGAAACCCATTCGTGTCTTTTGTTTGTGCGCATTCTGCTGTGACGTACCTTCACACAGCCAATAGAAACGAAGCGCATGCTGCGCTAAGTTCAGCCACACGATGAAGGAAAACATTCATATGCATATATAGGGACTTCCAAAGCCTTTCCAATGGCTCTGAGGACCTCGGGGGCAAAGACGTCTTGTGTAAACGACACACTCTTCACTACTCGGGATAGTTACAAAGATTAAGTCTTTATGAATAAGCGATACATCTTTTTAATTAAACATAATACGTCACAAACTCTCTAGAGGATATAAAGTCAGAGAGATACATGTTTGGAAGTGACAAGAAGCAGGCGCATGTAGTACACGTAGAGCAGCTGCAATTTTTGGGTCCTTCACTCTAGTTAGGGTGAGTGTAGCGCACGCCGTGTCAAATGTCAAAGGGCCTTGAGGCTGCACTGTGCATTTACAACAACAGAACACTGAGAACCAGGAAGCTGGACATGCAGGGAGTACATTAAATGCAACATACGCACCTCATAGTGATAGTCCATGCAGGTGAGGTCTCTCCAGCATTTGTCTCCTCTGATTTTTATAAGACCCTGAAAAGACAAAACATAAAACTTGTGCTACATCAACCTCAGTATACTTCAAACTTCACAGCAGCAAGCACTTCTGCGTTTAGCTGGACTTAATGGATGTCAGCACATGACAACTAAAAATCTGTCTCAAAAGGAAATGGTTCAACATGAACCAGTTAATAATAACGCCGTTGGAGAGTTATAATAAATAATAACATCAAATTTACATATTCATATATATGTAATGTGTATAAAACATGCTAGTGGCTCTGTAAAACTGGGCATTGGCTCAGCCTTTGACCTAAACGCCAAGTTTAACTTGCTGCTGCCATTAAATTCAAAGTGACTATTTCCTTAATGTTCCACTGGGAATTAAATTTGGGTTTCTGAGACTGTTTTCTATTCACATGTTACAATTGGGGTTGTTAATATAGTAATTTTTTTGGTTCCAAAAATCCACAATGGCGACAGCAATAAATAAAGCTGAGGCTTCAAAACAAAGACATTCACTGCAGTTTTATCAATCTTTCAGTCTATTATCAGGGCACCATGATAATACCAATGCTTTAAAATCTCAATCAAAAGAACAAAAATATGAATCTTACAGTGGAAAATTTAAGGCATCACCAAAATCATACTCATCCGGTGTATGTTCAGAGCCTAAATAAACCAAATGCTTTATGGAGAAGAAATTCATTAACATGCTACCCTCTAACAAACAGGATAGCATGTAGCCATATCTAAGAAGTGACAAGATACTTAAGCCCCTCAGTGGCTGACACACTTTAAGCACAACAAGAGACACAATACAAAGTGGGGATCCACCACCAAAGATCAAATCTGACACAACAAATCTAATTTGCTTGTCGTCTGAAAACATCATTAGCTTTTCTGACCTTCTCTACTCAATAGCAGCTCACAGTTGTGCAGCCCTGTTGTGCTAATGCCTCAAATTGGGAAGAAGCCCTCAGAAGATTCAGTTATA